ATACAAAAAAGAGAAATGCCCATGTCCTTAACTGATAACTTATTCAAATTAATTATGAACATTTGTTCAACCTCAAAAGTCCAGTTTTTAAATGAAATTCTTCTGAAACAGCAAGTTTCTCAGTGGATCTGTGCTCCACAATGCAGCCTAGGTGGAGTAGTTGAACACAGATCCACTGATCCTTCAACACAGAGCATCTTCAGAAAACAAGTTCATAAAATAAATTTAAAAAATCTGTATTGTTCCATACATAGTGTGTATTGAACCTAAAGCTCTGTATTGAACGGTTCGATACAGGTACATGTATTGTTGCACCCCTAACCATTACAACCCTAATATAAAATAAACCATTCAGTCTATGTTGAGTAGGAGACAATGAGGAAGTTCTCAGCTGTGCTTTACAATGTCTGCAACACTCAGTACTTTGCGTTTAATTACAGTAATTGGAGGTTTGTGTTCCTACTTTTGAAATGAAAGCAGTAAATCCATAAAATGTGAACAATTAGAGCACAAAACAACAGAACTGTAATAAACTGGAAGACTTGTCAGATGTGCTAATTATTGTTATGATTTTACAGAACTCCTCTACATGCTCTGAGTTTAATATTCAYGCTGCCTGTCACAGATGTTTGCGACGCAGCTCGTGTTGTGTTGTCTTGTGTTGTGTGTCCATGTTGCCCACCTGTTCTTCATCCGCTGGTGCACGCGCCCGTGCTGGACGCACTGTTCCTCCAGGTCGGAGCAGCGAGCTCGCAGACTCGTCGCCATCTCCTCCGAGCGCTGCTTCTCCAGAGCCAGCTGTTCCAGCTCGCCTCTGCAAGCAGACGCAACCAAGAGTCACCTGGCACTGCCGAAGCTTTTATTCAGCACAATAAATACTGAAAACATGTGCTCAAGTGATGTAAAATAAAGTTAGAGTGGCTTTCAAACAAAAAGATCTGTGTTCAGGGTCCCAGTCTTCAACACTGGAGGTAGATTTGCTTTTTTACAACAGATTTGTTTGTGTTAAAGCAGTTATTATATCTAAAATACCAAAAACTGATTCTAAAGCTACTAAAGGAGCTTTACTTACAAAAAAACACATCACATATGTCTTTGAATATGATCTGAGAACTTTGCCTTTTTTTTTTGGCTTTTAATTTACCTTAAAAGTTTGAAGGAAATGCAGAGTGAAATAAAGACCTTGCGTGTTTTGTTTTGTTTTTTCACTCACTGCCTTTCATGAAGGAGATTTAAACTAAAATCAACTCCAGCTGAGAGTTTTAGCCACTCAAATCCAGCTCAAAAATAGTAAAATTCATATTTGTGTTGGTTAAAGTTGGGATGTGGCTTCTAAAACTGTAGATTCATTCAGTGATTTTATTCTGAAGGTTTCATTATCCATGCACTCATTCATGACTGCTTTAACGCTGCAGTTAAAACAATGCTGCCTCCTGGCTTTGGCAGCGAGTTTTAAAGACTGAAAGAGTCTCAGGTTGTTTTTAAGTTTCTGTGTTAGACCGGTCAGTTCTCTGAAGTCTGATTTAAAATAAAAAAATAAATCAAAAAATCAAACCAGTGAAAATAATTCATCAGTTTACAAACTCATCCTGCTGCAGCTGTCTCTGTGTTCGCCCACTTAGCCTGACTGAGGCTGTCCAGCAGGACTTTAACCGCTAGAACGGGCCTGGACTCCAGGAGCGCAAACACCCCGAGGCACGAAAACACCACACACTCCAGCTTAAACAGCACAACACAACACACGCACTCACTCACACACACACACACACACACAGAGCAAAGCAGACGACAGGAGGCTTCAGGCCAGTGAGTCAGCATGAGTGTACAATCTCCTACACATAAAGAAATACACTAGAGTAAATTAGTACAGTCTGTACCAAAAGAAACTACTCAGAGTACTCTGGTCTGTGTGTGTGTGTGTGTGTGTGTGTGTGTGTGTGTGTGTGTGTGTGTGTGTG